CAAATTCTTGTTTGGTGCCACGTCGCCATTGAAAATATTCCAGTATCTTGAAAATAAACCATAAATATATCATAACACTTAAATTCATCTAATAAATAAATAAGTCAAAAAATATATAAGTACAATAAAATTACGCTAATAAATACATAAAATACACATTTTTTTCTGACCAATCACTGTACAACGAGTGACTGGCTAGCTCAAAAGCCTTAGTCATGCCAGTTTTTGCCAACAAGGCTCCAACATCACTCGACATACCGACTACCACTAAGGTCGATGTAAAATGAACAATTGGCCAGCTCGAAAGCCTTAATCACACCAGAATTTTGTGAACAAGGCTCCAACATTCGCTCGATAAGTAACAAATTTTCTGCAATTTGTTAGCCACCCAAATAATCATTCCAAATATATTCATGTACACCATAATCTCAACTGTATTTCACCAAACATATGCTAGTAATGAATATGTCTCCATGAAAAAGAATGCTAGAAGACTCATCGCCTCAATGAAAACAATCGAACTTCCTCACCAACAAGAGGATTAGCTAATGTACCTAAATGTCAAGAATATCACTCTAAATCGAACTTCCTCACCAACAAGATGATTAGCTAATGTACCTAAATGTCAAGAATATCACTCTGGTTATCATGTATCTTTAAAAGAGAATGGTGTATGCGGCCTTTATGAGGGGTCGTCAAGTCCTCATACCTCAATTCGTACAAAACTAATACTATATTGTAAAAAAATAAATAAATTTTGAAATTAAAATTTATATATTTTTTTATATGCATTGTGTATTCGTTTGGAATTTCTAAAGACTTCAGAAATCTTACTGTATTTAATTTACACTTTTAACATTTAAAATTTTAAAAGTCTTTACAATCTTGAGAAATATTTAACTTATTTAAGACTATAATTTGTTGAGACTTTTAAAAATTTGTTGAGATTTCAAAAGAAAAAATCATATACTCTTAAATTTGAAAATCTTAAAAAGTCTCAAATCTCAAAAGTTTAAAAATGTCAATCAAAATCCACCCATTAGTACTTTTGTATTAAGTTCTAATAATTTTAAAAATGATATAAGGAATTATCGGATCTAGGTGGGCATAAAATCCCATCATATATAATTGGCTTACTTGCCATAGTTGGGTACCAAATTAAAAATCTTAATATAAATGATTCGAAATAAACTAAAACTACACTGCCCAACCTCACAGGTTTCAACATTTCTACCCTAGGCAATGGGAACAAACAATAGGTTAAAAGTAGTTATTTCTTTAATCCCTAAGATCTAGAATCCAACCAAAGTGGCTGACTTTAGACCTATCAGCTTATGCACAGTTGTTTATAAGAAAAATGTTACAAGTACATAATAAATGTACATAGAGGTGTACATAACACTCACATGGAGTGAGGTCCACTTGATTTTTTATTTTTGGTGGGTCTCACCCAATGTGAGTGTTATGTACACCCCTATATATAATATTATATATCTGTAGCATTTCTCTATTTATAAAGTTCTTTCAAATATTTTGGCTTATAGGTTAAAAACAGTCCTTCCCATTTGCATTTCACCTAATCAAGTAGCCTTTATTCCTGGTAGACAGATAATTTATAATGTCATCCTTTGCTAATGAGTGTGTGCACTTTTTGAATAGTAAAAAAATAAAGGGAAAACTTCTTTCATGGTTCTGAAATTGGACATGTCCAAAGCCTATGACCAGGTGGAATGGGACTTTCTTGTCAAAGTTTGTGGAAGTTAGGTTTCTGTAAAAAGTTCATTTCTTGGATAAACTCCTCTTCTTTTTCTTTTAATCCCAATGGGCAACCTGTGGGCTATTTGAGACCTTCTAGAGGTTTAAGGCAGCGAGATCCTCTCTCTCCCTACTTGTTTATAATTTTTACTGAAGCTTTCTCTAAGTTACTTAACCAATCTGGTACTAGCTTTCAAGGCTTAAAAATTGGCCCTTTTGCTCCTTCTATCTCTCACTTGTTGTTTGTAGATGATTCCATTGTGTTCTGTAAAGCCAATAGACCTAATGCTATTATTCTGCAAACTATTCTGAGCAACTATGGTAAAGCATCTGGTCAGGTGGTGAATTTTTCAAAATCTTCAATTCTCTTTTCTAAAAACACACCTGTTGAGGTAAGGGATTGAATCTGGCAACTATTTGGAAGGATTCAAGTTGTCAAGTCCTCTAAGCATTTAGGAATGCCTTTGGGCATTGCCAGATCAAAGTTTGACACTTTTAATTTGTGTCTGAGTGTGTGACTGCAAGAGTGACAAATTGGAAAAACAAATTCTTGAGTGAAGTAGGGAGAGACACTTTGATTAAAATTGTTCTAGGAGCCTTACCTGTCTACATCATGTCTTGCTTTCAAGCTTCCTATGGGGATTTGCTTGAATATATGCAGGGAAATTGCAGACTTTTGGTGGGGAGTTATGAGGAGGAAAAGAGGAGAATTCATTGGACAGGATGGGCGAAACTAGCTTCCTAAGGAAAAAAAAGGGTTTAGGTTATAGAAATTTCTCTTTGTTTAATGATGCTTTAATTACAAAATAAATTTAGAGAGTGATTTCTAAACCCAATTTGCTGATGAGTAGGTTATGAGGGGGAAGTATTTTCATAAACAAAATATTTTTTATATTAATCCAACAAATTTTGATTATTGGCTTTGGAGGTCCACGATGAAAGTGAGATATGTTCTTAGATTGGGTGTGAGGTATCAAATTGGGGATGGGAGTAACATAGATATTTGAGAATCCCCATGGAGTCCAAGATCCCCTCAATTCAAACCCATCTGCTGCTTTGAGGGAGACATGAGTTCTTTAAGGAAAGTAAGTGATCTCCGTAGGGAAGAAAACAGGAAATGGGACAAGGAACTCATAACTCAAACATTTCTCCAAAATGAAGCTGAGGAAATTCTAAAACTCCTTGTACCATCTAAGGGAAAGAAGGATCAACTTATCTGGCAGCATTGCCCTAAAGGCCTGTTCTCTGCCAAACATGTATATAATCATCTGGTGGACATTGCAGGTTTAGACAAAGACTCTCCAGAACACAGCAACCAAAACAGTAGCCAAAGGAAAATTTGGAGGAAAACTTGGGGCTTACAGGTGAAGAATAAAATCCAAATGTTTGTTTGGAAATGTTGGCACAAATTCCTTGCAGTCCAGGATCAACTTATAAAGAAGAGAATGATGGTCGACAGGATTTGTAAACGAATGAGTCTCTTGAGCACATTTTGTTTACCTGCAGTAGAGTTGAAAAAGTCCAGAAATTAACTGAACTAAACTAGGATGGGCTAAAGAGATAAAGAAGATGACTTCAAAAGTTGGTGGAGTGCTTTGTGTTTAATGAATAATGGAAAGTGCAAGAAAGAGAGGATTGAGCTAACCACATACGTACTCTGGTGGCTATGGCGCACTAGAAACAATTGGATCTTTAAACAAGAATGAAATACAGAAAAGGAAGTGGCAAAGGGGGCTATAGGGGAGTGTAGAGAATTTGCTAATCTAAGTAGCAGGGAAGAGGATGATGGAGAGTTTTGTAGGTGATTCCTTTGGTTGGTTAAAGAAAAGGTATGGCAATCATCTTATTGTCAGTGCTGAAGCTTTTACCACTCTTTTGGTGTTACTGCTGGGATCGCAAGTGAGAACAGAGGAAACCTTCTGTCTCTTGGATTTCTTAAAGACATCATTGGGTTATTTTGCTGCCTTGTAATTATTTGGTTTTAGGAGTTTGTTTAGTGTTATCTGTTTTCTTAGTTGGGTTTTGTTTTTCTTCAGTTTTTTCTTCGACTTTCTGTCCCTGGTTAGTTGGTTAGTTTCATTAGTTCTTTTGTTTGGCTTTTGGTGCCTGTCAATAGGAGTTTTTTTTCTTTGACTTTCTGTCTTTGGTTAGTTGGTTAGTCTCATTAGTTCTTTTGTTTGGATTTTGGTGCCTGTCGATAGGGGTTCTTTGCGTTGTTTCCAGATTTCACCCTAGTTCTTGTTAGGTCCTGCTTTGCGTGGTGAATGGACTGAATTCCATGCAGTTGAGCGGGTATTGTAAATTCCAGTTAGGTTATAAAATTTATTCGTTTTGAGAAAAAAAAAATGGGAACAAATAATAAAATATTTATATTAGAAATTAAATTTCGTTTGCTGGTCAAAAGTCAAAATGATTTATTTATTTATTTTTTTTTTGACGGAATGATATAAATTTTATAGAAGAAACACATACATACATCTAGAAAACAGCCCATAATCCGAATAAGACAACTCAATCTAGTAGAGGATCACCTAGCACCTACACTAGAAACAACACCCACTAACAACACAAAAACAAACAAACTCCACAACTGGAGAAAGAAACTTCCCTACGAGAGAATAACACGCTCCCCTACGCGGGAGAAAAACACAACACAAGAACAAAAAGCGCAACAACACAAACAACACTAAACGACCTAAGCAAACCAACAAAACAACAAACACATAAAGGAGAAAAAACAAGCTAAAAAAACTCAAAACTACTAACCCCTCCCCATCCGCCAACATAACTCCAAGAACCACCAAGTGAGACGGCACCCACACAACAGACAGATTCACAACTCCGGCCAAGATCTAGAAACTGCATAAGGCCTAACTAGAACATGTCCAGACGAATCGGAACCCCTCCCAAAAGAGCCTCCTCGAGACCTTATCGCGAGACCGACACCTTGAACCCCCCACCGCCAAACCGGCGACCGTAGCCACCACACTGACTGCAGCTCCAATAAGACACCGTCAGACCTTCCCCCAGCACCAGGGGCGGATAGGAACCAAGGGAGGCCCAAAATGGCACGGACCTCAAGCTCATCCACCACCAAGGCAGCAGACACGCCGGTGACGACGAGCACCCTCCAAATCCACAGGCACCCCCGACTAAACCCACCATGGCCACCAGTAGAAGACGGCGAAGCGCCATGCCAGACAGGGAAGCAAAAATGAACTGACAGACCACTCACTACCGCCCCGATGAAGGTCTCCCCATGGTGGGGAAGAGAAATAAGCGGAGGGGAGGCGACAATTTTACTGGAATCGAGCCGCCAGAGATTTGGGGAAAAAGGGTTTCAGAGAGAGAAATAAGCAAAAATGATTTATTTCAAAAAGGTCAAATGGCAGTGCGCTCAACATATGTGTGCCTGTATGCAAGATTTCAAAAACAGTGGATCAATTTTGTTCTGCTACAAAAATAACATTACATTCAATCACACGGAAATATAAACATTACACTACTCTTACAACCAAAACTATGTCATTACATCTGTCTTAAAAACACAAGTAATACCCGGTTTCCCAACAGAATAGTTCAAGCAAACAGACTCTAACTCGAACTCGAACTATAATGTTAATAACTAAGTAGTAACCAAGACAATAACAGCGCAGCTACTTTGGTGTTTTGGAAAATGGAATTTAACCCCACATAAAAAAATGGTAAACACAGTAGTTAAGAATAAACCGGAAGCTACTTAACAGTGGGAAACAATCAGCTTCAGCCTCTACCCTTGAAAACCTAACTATTACTAAATACAATTTACCACGAGATTTGAGGTGATCAAAGAAGCAACTTGATTTGGGGCCTAAATATTGGCAGTCTGGAGACAGTTTTGTGTCTCAGGGATTAAATCATCCACGATGCGTGCAAAGTCATCATCACGCTTCACCTTCAGCCCTTTACCAAAAGCAGCAATTAGTAGAGCCTCTGCACGACCTGCATAATTCACAAATAGAGAACTGTAAAAGCATAAAAGAAAAGGAAAACAGGAGAAAAAATGGACTGTAATACGAAATATGGAATTTCCAAGGAAACAATCTCTCCCTATGATATCTCCAGCCCAATTAGTTTAATGGAGTTTGCCATTTGACTGCTTCAATCAGATCCATTTGAAAAAATGGGTCATATTTCCCTTCAGTAAGCAATTAAAGCCAGTTTGTAGGTTGTGGTTTTCTGTTGGTGTCCAAACATGAGATACAAGAGACCAAGTAGAACTTTTAAAGAGATCTTATATCGAAGAAAGCTGAATATTTTGGCTAGAATGAGAAAAGTTTTCGTTATAAATGCCTAATTTTTATTAATCTTTCAGCAATTTAAAAAGGTTTGCTTATCCCTATCCCGATGAGCTGAAAACAAAGCTCTTATTTTCTGTTCAGTAATAGTTCGAGTAAGGCTTGAACGGGCTCCCCGAAGACGTTCAAATGGGCAATGCCCTTCAAGACAACAAACTAGCAAGAGTTTCATTTCCCTAATGTCTTTCAAAGGTCAAATGAACGTATTCTTTAAAAAACATATACCCACAATAACTGTCTTAAGCCAAGGCAAACATAGATTACAAACCAGATGCTAGCTGCACAAAATATGAAGGGATGAAGCCACAGGAATGCAACACAGCCTTTGAACTCACATTCAACAATGACGAGTATACCTATTAGTATCGTTTACAAAATAAATCGATAAAAGTATACTAACCATGGTCTTTTTTCCTTTTCAACATGGAACTCATAGACGGAAATAGAGTCGTTGCAAGTTCTCTGCTATCATCCTATCAATTAAAACAATAAATGTCAAAGCTTGGACGGAAGATGAATAAACCACGCACAATCAGATGCAAAATTACATTCTTAACGTAACACGTAAAAAAATCAATTTATTAGAGCGAAAGTAAAATTAAGGAAATAGGGTAATAATTTTTCGCAGGAATCAGATGAACCTTGCTTGACTGAAACCCTGAGAGTTTAAACTCATTCTTCCACAAAGCAGATGGAACTGGAACAACAGAATATCCCGAGGCAACCAAAATGCCTATCCATAGTCCATATCCAAATCCTCCACTCCACCATCCCTTGAGTGCAAAATATGAACATACTTATAGGAAACCATCCAAAAATAATAGTGTAAGGTGGTAGCTGGATAAGCAAAATACATATTATAAAGAACAGTTTCAGGAAAAAGATGTCCCACAAACATCACATTTTGATGCATAAATTTACCTTCATTGGGAAATTCAATACCTAAATTTTACTTCCCTTCCATATGCCAAAACTAATTATTTTGTTAGATCCCCTTCATCAGGTGTTAGCAGAAAATAAGACAATAAGACTATGTGGATAAGCTTCAAAATGGTGAATACACAAAATAAAAAAGCTAAGTTAGACAAAGATGGTAGATGTCATAGCATTAAGAGAACTTTGTACGAATTGATTGAGAAAAGAAGAAGACTAGAGGAGATCATTTTTGTGTAAGTGAGGTGACTGTGGCAAGATATTGACATTGCGAAAATATAGTTGTGGGGATCTAGTGGATTCTCAATAAGATTAGAAAAGAGTAAATGTAAGAAGATGTCGTTCCCTCTTGAACTACTAATTAAACTGAAGTGTTCTATACTTTTCAAGCATATATAAACTACCAAGTAGAAACCGTTAATATGAACATCTCCTTCAAAGTGACACTTCTCAAATTCCAAAGAACTCCATTGATCAGAAGACAGCACCAGATCAAAGTACAAAAGCAGAACCAAGTAACAGCACATATCAGTGATACAATGAAACATGAAATGGTGATATATTAGTGTTGATATGAGAAATTCACAGAACAAAAGCCATCAGAAGGAAAGAATACAAAAATGTAACCATTTCACAAATCACAACCATGTTCACAATTTTCATATGGAAAGATTAATGGCATTTTCAGTTGTTAGAGGTTTTCTAACCTGCTTGCCATCTTTGGGAAATGGACTCGATTGCTCTATGTAGACAGATGTTCCTGAAGTAAAAGAAAAGATATATGTCGGCCCAATGTACGCATTAAGTTTGAGATGTAGAGCAGCTAGGCTATTCATTGTTATTCCACTGACAGCTACATATAATTACAACTCTTTTTTCAATAAGAGTGAAATCAGATGAGGAAATATTAAAAGTCATCCTCCTGTGTGGGTGGTTAACCAAACTCATCATAGTCAGCACTACAGTAGACCACCTGTTCCCTAACAATACTGCAATTTATATCACAGTGCTTCATGTACTTACAAGTAACAAAGATGAATTCATAACAAGAAAAATAAAGGTTGCCCACTCAGTCAGTCATATCAAGGTTGCACCAGTAACATTGGTAGCACTCTATAAGCTAAAGCATATGATATACCACTTGGAGCATCAACATTTTGAAGCAATTGAATGATGGACTTCACATCAAGACGCTTCCGAACTCTTTTCCCAACCAGCACTTTTAAGATAGGAGAATCATATACCTATAAAGATATGAGAAGAAAATCAATTATATATAGTACGTAGACAAAAGCCAGTATCTTGTTATGATGGCATATCAAACTTCTATCAGAAAGAATATCTTGATCAGAATACCAGGGAAGAACCTATAATATTGTTTAGTTTTCACCGCCTATCATCTTCTAATATTGGAACACATTAAAATAGAATGCATAAGGACAAGACCTTTATTCAAATTCCTCAAAGTGTGTAGTGCCCATCGACATTCCCATCATCCACCAGATCCCGAGAAACAGCATATTGAATGACAGAGTTCAAGTTTTTTAGAATATTAACCCTAGCATTATTCATCAATGTGGGCACTTGGGTGCACCACTGGAGATTAGGAATTAGTAAAGCTGTCTCCATATACGACTTCCCATCCTCATCAGTTAAAAGTAATAAAAAATATCCCCACATGATTCATAGTCAAAAACTTCATCACTAAAAAATTAAGTCTCTACCAAGATGGAACCAAAACCAGCAACACAGGATATCAATACACTATATTCAGAGGTATTGGTCAAAGATGCGCATAGCCAAATGCCTTCCCTGACATTACTATCTTAAAACTATAAAACCATACACTTGAATCACATTATAGGAGTCCAGTACGTATAATTCAAAACCCTTATACAAATAGAAATTCACATTCACGAAAAAAATGTTAGGCACTGACTGCAACTATACATTTGGCAAATATACCACGCCACCCAGTATAAAAACACAACAGGAAGCATTACAGTACCTGGGGAGAATTATCGGGCTTCAGAACAGCCAAGGCTCCAGAAAGGTCCGGGTCAACCCCGATGACCCAACCCAGGCCGGGTTTTTCAGATGTCAAGTTCCCATCAATGTCCGGCAACGGGCAGGACAGGGACTCCAACCAGTTCAGCCTATATTGGTTGGCGTTCAAATTCGACTTTTTATCCCTCGCGCCGCCACGTGAGCCACCGCCGTTGGACCTAGGTTTTGGGGTCGAGGGTTCTGAAACTATTGTTACTGTTTCAGTGTCGGCGGAATTCGCAGTGAGGGCCGTGGCGGTGGAGATGGTGGAGAAGAGCCTGAACGTGGCGGGGGTGAGGCGGGAGAGGAGCTGTGAGGCTGGCTTGAAAGGGATTGGTGGGGTCATCAAACATTGAGGATTTGGAGGGAAGACAGTCACTGTATCCATGAAAATATTGCAAAGAGAATTGATAAATGGCATTCTTAAATAGAGAAAAGCAAAAAGAAAAAGGAAAAACTCAATATCTATAGAAGTTATTTTGTTTTTGATTGGATTTGTTTGTTAATTTTACAAAAGTTGATTGAGTTAGGTCTAAGTGGTTTTGAAATGTATTAAAATAATATTTAAATATAATGATTTAAAGTTTATTTGATGTAAATGTAGTAGAGAGTTGATTGGAAGTGACAGTAGTTAAGATTATGTGAGTGTATGAATAGTAAAATAAAGTTGATATTTTGTGGGAGAATAATTGATTAGTTTTATCTAATTATATTCTAGTAATCAACCTGTGCATTTGCAACAGAATAATACTTGGAAAATATAACAATATAAAAAGAAAAAAAATGATAATTTAATTTATGAAAAAAATATGAATTAAGGAAATGATTCTAAATATTGTTTAACACTTGCATTATCAAACATTTGGGTCGAAATTATCTATTGAACAAAATATTGCATTATAAACAGTTGCTAAATTGGGTTGGATAACATCTTAAAAAAAAATGTGGTGAGTTAGGCTTAATTTCTATTAAAAAAACTTGTAAGGATGACTTGGGCCGATTTTCCCAATAAAGCTAATTGTTTAATTAGCCCGATTTGGTAAAGCCCAAAAAAAATAAAATTTTTAAATTGAACTCAATACATATTTGTTTGAGATAATTACACCCTATACAAGATATATCATCTTTTATTGCAAAATTACCAAATTCTAACATTAATTGCAAAATCACCAGATTTATCAAAAATAATTAATTTAAATAAGTAATTAATAAACTATGAAATTAAATGTAGACTTATTATCTCTTTGTTGGTATGATACATTCTCTCTCTCCTATCTCTTCTTATCCTTTCTCTCTCTCCCTCTTTGCGTTTTTCTTCCCTCTATTTTTTCTTTTTGATCAGAGGACGGCAACTGTAAGTAAAAGGAAAGAAAAAAAACCTCAGAGTCCCGTTGAAAATCACACACGCTGCTCGACGGAAGCTACGCGATCCCGACCGACGGACAAGGTTTTGCCACAAAGACAAAAGCATGGTGCCGGTGGATGGGAAAGGTGGAGAAGACAATGAAAAATGTTGCGTTTAGAGAGTGTCATACGACACTTCCTATACTTTGGGAATTCTTCCTCATCGGCATTTTCTAAAGACCTCCAATCACAAAAAAAGGAACACCAAGGAAATGATTCACGACGGCTAGAGGCGTATATAAGCGGCGGAGGAACGATAGATCCGCNGACAATATATGTTGAGTGTATATGGCGTATATGTTCAATATATTCTGTATATGTTATGTATAAACTAATCCGATATATATTATGTATATGTCTTCTTTATATATTTTATGTATATATTATGTATATATTACGAAAAGATAGTGTATTTTGTGTTTGATATGATCTAATCCGTGTATATTTTGTATATATTCTGTATAAACTAATTCGATATGTATTATGTATATATCTTCTTTATATATTTTCGGTATATATTACGAAAAGATTGTGTATTTTTGTGTTTGATATGAACTAATCTGTATATATTCTGTATATTAATCCGTGTATATTGTGTATATTTTCTTCTCGTATTTTCTCATCAGTTTCTGGCCGTGTAATTTGCAATGTCTAAGTTATGTTTTCATAGAAGCAACAGGGATTAATTTGATATCGTGTATATTGTGTATATTTTTTCCTTCTAGTATTTTTTTTATACGTTCGAAATTTCAAATTAGATATCAACAGGTAATCTTTTTTTTTTCTCGATATCAACAAGTAATCGGAGAAGCATAAAAGAGGATAGAAGCTACCGGTCCTAGAAGCCGGCGGAAAAAACAAAGAAAGAAGCGTAGGAAAGCAGAGTTGCTGCATCACATAGATACCTTTTGCTTGATTATCAGGAATAGCCCTTTCAAGAAAACGCGGATTCTTTGGTGAAAATACATTTGCCTTATCTGTTAATCCAATCTTTGCGTTATTATAGGAGATTGGTTTAATAAAGTAACGGAATTTTATGGTTTATCAATATATAAAGGCAATTCAATATGTATCTTTGCAATTAAGATACTATAGCTCGTAATTTTACAATTTTTTTGGAATCTTATAGTATGCATAAAATTTCGCCGTTTTGTTTAATGAGGATATTGTTTGGGACTTTTTTGGGTCGAGAAGTTTGTGTTGGAAGTGTTAGAGTAGGATACCCGGCGTTCCAATCTAGTTGGACGTATTCTACTTATAAATATAAATCTATTGGAATTATATTATTAATAAGGCATTTCTTTATCTTAAGAGAAAGCATTTATCTTATAATTGCACTTAAGATAAAATCCCTAGATCACTTATGGTTATAAGGTATGGTTGCGCATAGAGATGGTGATCATGGAACATACCTTGAAAGCCGTGATCTTAAATACAGTTCCAAGTCGATGGATGTTTCGAGATGGGATATCGAATAATCCATAAAAGACTTGCACATAGTTTGTATGCTTGTTGGACAAGAATGTTGCATTCCATCAACATTAGCGTAAGACGTAAGTACATTTATGTGGGTGCTTGTTAGAGAACAAGTTCACTGAACATGACCGTATGAAAATTCTTAATGAAGAATTTATTCAGTCGAATAAGAATTTTCATGTTACAATAGTACATGACTAATCCTAAGACTTGAGGCACAATGGTAACTTTGTGCATATTACATTCTACTTTGATTTATCCTTTTGGTAGCTAGCACTATCGTTTAAAGGGATAAGTTGGGTATTATGTTAATATGTATGGAAGTTTGTTAGTGGCCAATAAAGGATTCGACACTTATGAAGATAAGTGAATTTCCTATGTGTTTCATAGTTATTAATCCAAAGTCCTTGGCCAAGGCAGAGATGAATAGTGATTCATAACCGGGTTAATAAACATGAAATAGAATCATAGTTATTAAGTCAATTTGGGTTTCGACAAAATCATACCCAAGACTTAATCGGGAAATTAGATGTCGAAAGGATTTTACATGTATGGAGTTGTAATCGGAATAGGTTTACTCGCTATTCACTTAATACTAGATTCATGCTACTTGCTAGGTGTTACCATGATATGTGGGTTCATAAATTAAAGGGTTAATTCATGAATAAGAGTTAATAAGATTTAACTCAAATTACAAAGTGTTGTAAACCCACTACTAGTATTAAGGTGAACCTAAAAGGTCACACTAATTATGAACAAAGGTAAAGATTGTATTTCTAATGGTTAGAATTAATTGATAAATATCTAATTTGATTAGATATCAATTAAAGGAATATATTAATCAATAAGATTGATTAATTACATTTTGGATATTACTTTAGTAATTAAGGTAATTACTAAATTAATAAAGTTGAATTTTAAAATAGGATTTTAAATTTCAAAAATCCAAAATAATAATAATATGATTATTATAATATTGGGAAAATGATATAATAATAAAGTCTTGAGAAAGATTCTCAAGATTTATTATCCAATTATTATTTATATCTTTAAATATGATTTAAGGATTAAAATAATAAATATGATTATAATAAAATGGTTGTTGATGGTTGTTTGAACTACTTAACATATCTTATTATTTTCAAAGTCAAAAGTTAGTAAATACTATTTAAATAAAATTTGATTTTATTTAATATTACTAAATGTTGATTATTTTATGCTAAAATGTTTAGTATAAATATATGCAAAATGGTTTTGCATTTAAGTGAAGTTTTTGATCCTAAATTTCTAAGTGTTAGAAAGAGAAGAAAGTGTTCTTCATAAAACTTCAAGAAAGAGTTCTTAAAATTCCCAAATAAAATTCATAAATATTCCTATACAAGAAAACCGAGTCTTTTCTACTAGCGAAGGAAAGTCGTCGGAACCGGGATTCATAGGGTGGATACGTTTAGAGGGAAGACACTTGGATTCCTCTAGCGAGTAACCTCAAGTCGTTGAAGTTACAACCGGGAACCGATTCCCTCATCCATCATCAATAGTGAAGGAGTTCAAGATATTCGGTAAATAGTTTTACTAGTATTTACTTTATAGTAACAAATCAAAATTTGTATATGATGCATGTTTTAAAGATGACGATCAGTTAATTCGCAATTAGTATGTACGGGTGTTGTATTTATACGATAAATACTTACTTTAAAAATTTTAAATTCCGCTGCGTACAGCCCGTACGGTACTATCGAACCCAACAGGAAGTACATAATGTGTTAACTGTAGCATTTCAAGTCTCTTCTTCTTCATGTGTCTTTTTATCTGAATATTCTACTTTCACTATGTTTACTTTATCAACAAGATGTTAAAGATGATCAAGTTGCAAGTGGGTCGCCACTTCCAGGTGTGAAGATGGTAATAATGTAGAATAACTTATGTTGGAAGTACATAATGTGCGCAAATACTTAGGTGCGCCTTTGCACATGTTCATTTTATAACATAACATGTTCATTTTAAACTGCCCTGACACACCTTACTAGGTGTACATGTTCATTTTATAACATAACATGTTCATTTTAAACTGCCCTGGCACACCTTGCTAGGTGTGTCAGGGCGCACGGTAGTAGCACTGCATAATGTGTGTATGATAACAGTTTTGTTTTTCTTGATTGTTGTGTGGTGTGGGAATTTTAGAACTAGCTTGGATTATAATATTGACGGTCGATTCTTGAAATTCTTGTCAGGTTGGTGGGGAGAGAAACATTTTTTTTTCTCGAGCTTCGATCTGAGTTCGGGTGTCTTGTCATAGTTGAGAAACTGGAGGATTAATATACGTATCTTTTTGTATGTATATATAAATGTCATGAATCATGATTAATGTCCTTTTGTGTTCGGAGCTGTTGATATTTTTTTGTTCTCTATTGATAGAGCTATATAAAAAAATTTGCCCAAAACAAAACTTGGGTGTAATAGTCCTTGGGTTGCATAAAATAAAAAATGTATAATAATGCTCGTTTTTAGGGATGATTGTTGATTCATAAAATAAATGTTGATGAGATTTATTTTGTCGCATTGAATTTCGTTATATTGTATTCTTGTGATGAATTTAGATGTATTGTGATGTATCGTCACAATACAAAATTATATATTGAAGAATTAGTCGTAAGCGTCATTGTAAATACAAAAAACAAAAAAAACAAAAAAACGATGAAATTTATTTTGTCACGTTAAATTTCGTCATAATATGTATTACAGCGACGAATTTATAGTATATCATCACAATACAAAACTATATAATGACGAATTAGCNACGACGACATTTAACTTGTCGCATTAAATTTCGTCATAGTATGTATTACTGTGAGTCTGTGACGAATTCATATGTATTATTCAATATTGTCACAATACAAAATTATATAATGACGAATTATTCGTAAATGTCATTGTAAATAACAAAAGAAAACAACGACATTTAATTTGTCACTTTACATATATACGTGACGAATTTAGATGTAGAGGTGACGGATTCAGATGTATTGTCATGAAAATTATGATTATGTGACGAAAACCAAATTCTAAGATGACGAATGTATTAGTCGTTACTGTATGCAATGTAGTGACGATTTTAAAAATTCGTCACCATAAGATAGCCAAGTGTGACGGTTCTTTTTCTCGTCACATGAATTTCGCCATAATATGTGTAATTTCTTGTAGGGATTTCCGACGAAGGCCTACGAGCACCTCCGTGTTAGAAGTGGAACGTCAGTCGGTAGCTGGCCGTGGAGAACGACGGCGGCGGGGATAGGGACAACGACAGCGATGGGGATGAGCGTTTGGCTGTGTTCAGGCCGGCCGCCAGTCAACAACGGTCAGCGTTTGCCCGTGGTCGGTCAACTGCAGTAAGTTATATTTTTAATTATATAATTATTTTAAAATAATAATAATAATAATAATAATTTATTATTATTTAATTAATATATTATTCAACTCATTTGATATATATATATATATTTGAGCATCTCCAATCCACCCGGTAAACCAAGCGGAAACGCCTTCCATGGAGAAAAATGATCTCCAATACAAATATCTCCTCTTCGCTATTTTCAGGCAAAGAGGTNCAGTTGGACTAGAATCCATTGGGCTAGATGAGTTGGGTTGTTTTTTTATGGTTTAGTTAGTTATATGGATTAAATTAAAATATGTATTAAAACTCTAAACTTAATTATTGTAACTTAACATTTTATAATTTAATTAGCATTTTGATTAGTATTTAAACTTAAATAAATATTACAAACAAACAAGTTCAAATTACAAAATAAGGATAAACTTTCAACTCACTTGAAATTAACGGTTTAAACACTAAGACTAAAATCACATATATTGAAAGAGGTTGATGAAAAAAATCTAAAATAGTAACTTTGACTTTGTTATTAAATATGTTGACTTACTATTAAATGAAATATAGTAAAAATTATTTTAATATTTCTAAAAAAACCAAATTGTACATACATGTTGCAAATCGTGCAATCGATTAATAGCATGATTTCTGTACAAATAAAGTGGTATCAATTTTGAAAATTATTTTGTGATAATTATTGCAATAAAAATCCGATTCTTAATATTAATATTAATTATAAATTGTTGCAATTTCTAATTCTTTTGCTAACAATACAACATATCTTCAAAAAAAAATTCTATTAAATAGGCTTTTTTTTAGAAAATAATATTTGAATATTCACAATAAAATCACAAATATAATTATAAAATAAAAATTAAAAATCTATTATAAAAAAATTTATTATGATAGTTATCACAATGTTACAATAGAATCTTATTTATCAATATAATAACAAATTACCTTGATTTCTTATTCATTTGGTAACCAACAATCACCAAAATATTTTTTTATCGTATCGTTTGACAAAACATTAATCAAGAGTATTAGTTTATAATCTTTTAATTTATGAATATAAATTATAATTAAGCTTTTCAAAAATCGTATTCATTTGGTAACGAGTCATATACCAATAAATCATTTATTCCAGAATTTAAAAAATATCATTTGATTTTGTCAATAATTACAGCAAACTACTTTTATAAATATTCATATTGCGATTCACAATATCATAACAAAATTCATATAAATTAATATAGATTTTTTTAAAAAATATTTATCAGGTACATTATTATAATTATAATAAAAAAATAAAATAANGAAACGACAGAATATTATATATCATCAAATGTACAAATATACAATCGGGAGCCGACTGGCCCTAATCAAATGGGAGAGTCACCTACATGCAGGTGCTCTAAATGAACACAAAAATACACCACTATTAAATACTGATTTCTAAGCACATACTAAGGCCAGAAAAATGTTGTCACCCTTAGTATTCCTTAGCAACCCCAATCAACCTAGGTGTAGCAAAACAGGAACCAAGCCCACATATATACATCAAAACTCAGGCTGAGAAAACTAATAAAAGAATAATAAACTTCCATGAAAAATTGCAGAATAATAGTTGAGCAGCATTGTGAAATCTGAGAATAAACCAATGAACTCATGAAGCAGCCCACTGCACCTGCTGGACCTAGACCACACTTCACCTCTTCATTGATTTATTTACAGTTTCTTCTAGCATATTCTTGTCAACTTCCCATGGCTAGCTTGATGATGACTCGAGCTAGCATCCATTCTTTTTTAAATACCCAGAGATTCCGAGCTTTCCATAACCACCATAGAAGGTATGTTGTTAGCTCGATGCGTTGTTCAGAGACTTCCAATTTATTAATGGAGCAAACATCACCCCACCATGATCTGAATTTGATGTTAGAATCTTTAGGAAGTTCCCATTGGACCGGAGCTAAATTCCGTACCTCCTTGGCTCTTCTACAATGAAAGAACAAGTGCTCATTTGTCTCGATCTCCTCTCCATTTTCAATTAAGTGTTTGTTATAATGTTCACAATTTTTCAACTTTATCATAACTTATTTAAAATAATATATTGTAATAAAGTATGAGCAAGGGAAGATAGAAAGAAATAAATATTATGTGAGTAGATAATGTTTTAATATGTTAAATTTTAATTATCCTTAATTATAAATAGCATCTCTAAAATGAAAATTATCCTATAAGGAGTGAAATAAACATATAAGTCATATATTACATTATTATATATCATAAAATAAAATAAAATAATTAATATTATTATTCAAAACTATTTTTATAATAATCAATATTTTTTCATCACTTGAATACATGCAATTTATAATTATTATCTCGTGCATTGCATGGGGTACGTACCAGTTACTAAATAAAGCTAAACTTAAATTTGTGTTGATGTTTTTTTTTTAAAGTAATGTTTGTGATGAAATCCACGTCGTTCTATGATGTAAAGTGTAATTTTATGATTTTAATGTAAATTTATTAATTAATCTTGTTAATCAACAATTAATATATATACATAAATATGTAAATTGTATGCAATCGTAATGCATTAAAATCTAATTTATAAAGTCTATTTAATAAACTAATAAAATTAGAAAAAAAAAATGCTAGGAATATTTTTTTAGACTGGAATTATAGACTGAATGGGTTGTAGTTGTTGGCACTATTGAAATTCTAGAACTAATGAAATGTCACTATAGAAACTTTAAAATATAATTTTTGGTTGGAGATGCTCTAATGACCAACCTACTTAGTGTAGTATTGTGTCACAAAAAAAATTGTAATTCATAAAATATAAGATAATAGTTGTTTTCGAATTCTTTTCAAACCAAAATGGCCATTTCCATTTTTCTGTTCACCTAGACAACATTTGAAATTTATAATTTCAAATCTAAAACTCATGAATCGCCTTGAAATTATATCTACTTTTCAATTCTTTCATAAAAAACTATATCTACCTAATGAACGACTATATTCAAATTGTATCTCAATAGAAGTTCCGTATTTGTTGTTATTTAGGGGGTGATTGTTTATAAATTCATCTAGAAATTATTTGGTTTTTTTTAACTATAGTTACTTTTGATAAAAGTTGGTATAGTTAGTTGTTAGTGGATATATTAATATTTAAAATAAAATAATTAAAGTTGATATGATGTAAAAGTGAGAGAAAAATGATTGGAAGTGATGGTTAGTTAAAATTATGTGAGAAGATGAATAGTGAATTAAAGTTGATGTGATGTGTAAGAATGGTTGGTTGAATGATTGGTTGTTATTATTTAATTATATTGATAATATAGGAAAAAGTGGAGTTGAGTTAAAGTTGAGTTAAATTTGAGTTTTGATTGGGTTTTTTTGAGGTGAATTGATAAACAATCACCCCCTAAGAATTTGAGTGTCTGGAATCTCTCGGGTAATCCATAAATTCTATTCTACTATATGAACTCTGATATGAATTCTTAATAATTTATTAGTTAAACAATTTTAAACGCTGAAGTTAAAAATATAAAAGTAAAACATGCGGCCCATGGGTTGGACTGAATCTGAAGTTAAATATTATTTTAATATACCAACTAACAACTAATCATATCATCTTTTTCAAAATTAATTAAATTACACTAAAAAATCCAAACAAAACTAAAAATTTCTAAATGAGTTCAATCCACAGGGTTATTGTCTGGGTAAAATAAATTATCCTTATATACGTTTTTTAAGTTATTCCCAGCAGCTGATTTTATGGGTTATAAACTAGAATCCTGAAATGAGCCATTCAAAAAGAATCTGAGTTTTTCCTGGTGTTGACTCAGTTCTTTTGTCTCATTACGAAAACCTTTTTGACAAAAATACCATCAACATTACAGTTTTGGTCAATGTATACGTTGGGAAGAAATGATATTTTGAATAACTACTTACCTCAAGAAAATGTAGAAAAATAAAATTTCAAAATAATAATAATAAGTGATTTTGCAAGATAGAGACATCTGAAAATGTTGCTTTATACATTATTATGAAAATTAAAAGGGGTACTTATTTAACACATATGCCAGAATTTGCGCCCTTATTTATGTGGCCAGGATAATATAAATAAAATATTACATAAACTAAGTGCAAATTGGCTCCTAACAATAATCGGTTCACATTTGAGCAATTTCAATCGGTTGGAAATTCTCTCTATTCCGTATCTCACTTTATGAAAACGATGTCTACTTTCGAACCTTATCTTCTCTTTTTCCTATAATAAATTCCATAATTAAATTTTTCTTCACTTGAGGAATAGAATATAAATATATAATACTGGTTTTGGGGCATATGATTGTGGACGTTTACAGGCATGTTTTTTTTCTGCTTTGTTGATGTTTGAAAAAATTTTCAAGTAAAAGCATCACACATGTGAGTCGCGAACAATCCCTTAAATTCAGGACACCACCAAAAAAAGGAAAAAAAAAAACAAAACAAACGAACAAACAAAAAACAAAAACAAGCTAAAATCAACTTCAATTCAAACTCACATGACAACATTATACTACCTCCTATTTTTTTTTTAAATGTCATTTTAACTTTATCAATAATTAACCAAATAAATAATTATATATTTTTTTATTGTTACCCTCATCTCACTAATAAATCCAGTACGTCTTTTCATATTCACTCTTCATCTTTTCTATTCATCTTTAATGAGAGTTATTATTGACAAAAGAATAAAAAATATAAATACTGTGCAACTTTTTTAAAATGACACTTATTAAAAATAGGAGAGAGTAGTATATAAAAGCCAATCCCAAAAACCCAATTGAAAAACTCTCCAAAACCTGAGCTCCCAAACAAAGAAGCATATATGGCTTCCCCTCCCTATACCTACGTCACGGCCCCCACGAGCCCTATCCTCCCGGGCCTCGACGATTTCGAGTTCGAGACCAGCAGCAAATTCAACAGCGGCCGCCACAACTTCGATCCGACCTTCTTCGACTACTACGGAGGGCAAAACGGTAAAATCGCCTTCGCGGACGAGCTCTTCTCCGACGGCCTCGTCATGCCGCTCAAGCCTCCGCCCCGACTCCACCACGACTCCTCCGCCGCCTCCTCCCCGACGAGACCCGCCGCCACTTTCTGCCGCTTGCCCTTCTCGAGGAAAATTGACGATTTTGACCCTTTCGTGGCCGCGCTGCAAAAGGTCACGGAGGAGAAGAGGCGTGGCGGCCGCGGGCCCGGGCCCGGGCCTCGCCAGAGGCGCTCGAGATCGTACTCGCCTTTCCGGGCCGTGGTCAGGTGCTCGAGCGACTGCACGATTTATGCCGATCGGGATTTCTCAGAGGAGAGTGCACGGGCGGTGGGTGGGCCCAGCTTTAGTGGGCCGTTGTTGGATTTCAAGGGGTCGGCTTACGCGAGGTGGGTGAGGGACCAGACAGGGGAAGGTGGGCTGAGGCCCGTGAGGAATGATTCGGCCCGGCCCGAGGAGGGGAGGTCGAGGAAAGTGCAGAAATTGAAGGAGTTTTTGAAGAAGTATGCTTTGTTTGGGAGGGGGAGCAGCAAAGGGGCTAAAGCAGGTGCAGAGAAAAATAAGTATTATACTAAATTGGGTTTCAAAGCAGCCAAGGAAAATGGGAAGTGAAGGTTTAGTCTAATTAGCCAAAACAAAGGAGGAAAGAGAAAGACTGTAATATTTTGGAATTGCAAATGTCCCCCCACTCAGCCTCAGAGTGCATTTTTGTGTGGTAAGAGCATCTGTCAGCTGGGGTTATTTGCAATTTTTAAAATATGTATTGAGTTTCTTTTTGTAATTAAAATCATCTGAGAGATAGATGCTGTAGTTAGCTCCTTAGGTGGTTATTGAGATGATAGCCCCAGGGAAGTCAAATTCTGTTTACAGGGTTAATAATGATATGCTTTCTGCAGTTTTTTTATACCAAATGCTGATCACTGTCCAATTGATGTGCATATAAAATGCAATTTTTAGAAATTATCAGCCTCAATTTGAGAATCAAATTTACTTATTTTCATGACTCTGCATTTCCAGGACTAAGTTGAATACAACATAGATCAATCAATATATAATTTGAGAAATTAACCTGTGCTCTATTTTTTTTTTTACAACTTTTTGCATCTTACATGCATCTACTCAGGGATCAAGGGAGATAATATACATATTTGCTATATACAGCCCTATATTAGTTTTAAGAGCAGAAAATAATAATAGCTAATGGTCGAACGTCTTTCTATTCCAATACTTGAGATGGACATAGCTTTTTCCACGTGGAGAAAAATTAAATTTGGAAAGAAAAAAAAAGAGTTATTATCAGCTCGATATTCTGGCTAAATGCTGAGACTCGCTTTTCTTTCTCGTTTACTATGAAGTATGAAGTTTGCTGAAACTCCAAATTCAATTTGAAGTAGCCAACTTTAGACTAGTTTTTTTGGTCGTGACTTCTTTTGACGAATAAAGTAGCCAACACAATTCAATAAAGCCAGTCACAATAGTCAAACCCTCAATATAGAGTACAAACAAAATAACACATGCTCTTCAACTACCACCTTATAGACGTGGCCAGGTGCCGGGTCCGGGCCCGGCCTGACCCGGCCCGCCGGGTCCACGGTCCACATGGACGAGGCCCGGACCCGGACCGAAAAAAGTGACGGTCCGGGACCGGTTCGGGCCCGGACCCGCCGGTTTTCGG